GAGTGGGGTTTCGGTGTTTAGGGTGTGAGCTGATGGCGACCGGCGGTGGGGTTGAAGGTTTAGGGGTGTGTTTAGGGTTCAGTGGTCTTCGGGCAGAGGGCTCAGGGTTGTCTTTGCCCAAGGAGCACTATATTGCTCCTTAAGTAAGGAGCTTCATTTGCACGCTTTCTTTTTCGGAGCTGTGTTGCTTGCTTTGACTTAGAAATAGAAGGATCTCCCGAAGATCATTCAAAGCGTATTGTTTCTTGAAGGGTTTGGGGGTTTGAAGGAAGAAGGGTTGGGTGTTGAGGAAGAGGGTTGAGAGAGCTCCGGCCAGAGGTCAAGCCCTCGTTTAGGCTTGGGGCTCGTGTGTAAGGTTTGACATGAAAGTTGTGAGAACGTAAACCCAATCCCACAGATAGCTTGTGGAGTTGAAGATGATTTGGGCATAGGGTTTAGGCTTTAGGGTTTAGGGCTTCAGGGTTTAGGGTTTAGGGCTCACCTTCTAGATGCCAGTCCCCTGCAATAGATAGGCCTCAGAAGAGCATCCAAGGAGCTATCCCCAAGCCCTGACTTAGAGGCCCAGGGGAGTTAGGAAGTAGGTTATAAGTAGGGCTATAAGTACCCTAAATGGAGTTACCCCAACTATAACCCTACTCCTAACCTACTTACTACGTCCCCTGGGCCTCTCAGTAGACCCTAAACCCTAAACCCCATAGATCCCTTTAAGGAGCCCTATAGATCCCTATAAGGAGCCCTTGAAGAACCCTTCCTACGTCCCCTGGGCCTCCAAGCAACCAGAATCCCAGCTCTGGCCATCCTTCACTCTTGGGCTACGCAGCTTTCTTGTGTTTTTTGGGGTTTAGGGTTTAGGGTTTAGGATTTAGGGTTTAGGGTTTAGGGTTTAGGGTTGCTTAAGTGATAAACAACGAACGCCAACACCTGGGCCCAAAACCGTTCGTGTCAAATTTCAGCTTCCGCGAACTGCAGTGCTGTGCCTGCAAGAAGAAGCTGGTTCCAAAGGGTCACTATCAAGGGTTATCTACAGAATGCCCGGCTATGTACAACCACGGTATAGGAGCTTCAGCAGAAAAAGATGGGAGTTTCAAGCAGAATGCAGAATCGTATGAGATCTCCAAGACTGAGGTCCTGCTGCAAGTCCCCAAATCCGCAAATAGGGTTTCGAGTGACATGAGAACAACCCGACACCCTGAATCCTAAACCCTCAAGCCTAAGCCCAACCCTAAACCCGAAGCCCTAAAGCCTAAGCACTGAACCCTCAGCTGTCAGAGGTTAATTCCTGTGTGTTCCTTGCCTTTGGCTCGCGCTTTGGCCGCAGGGATGGGTTTGGAGGATTGAAGCCGGAAGGTACGCTTTGGGTCTCAGGTTTCCGATCGAGTTCCTTTCTCTGAACCCCCTAAACCCCTAAACTCCCAAACTCGAAACTTTAACGCAAAAACCGAACGTTCACAATCTCGACAAGACAGCCTCTACCCAAAAGGTGAGCTGGGTGTGTTAGCTAAGGGTTCCCAGTGTCAGTCCTGGGTGGTACGGTCCTTGTTAACATTCAGGATTGAGGTGAGCATCAGGGTATAGGGTAACTTTAGGGGATAGTATGATCCTTTTCATAATTTAAGGTTTAGGGGGCACTTGACGATACGAGCCTTGTTACACTCCGTAGTAAGGCGGCCCCAGGCAAACATGTCGTAGGGCACCCAAGGGGTTCGGGGTTTTCGGGTGTAGGGGTTTAGGGGTTTGGCTGTTTAGGGGTTTAGGGTTTTGGTGAGTGTACACAGGGGCACAAGATGGTTGCCTTTCGGTGATGCTGGCAACAAAAGCCTTGCTGCAATTCCCCACACTGCTTCGCCGCAAAGTTCCTTAACCTGAAACCCGGATGGAATCCTTAAAGGATCCCCTAAAGGAGCCCTCAAAGGATCCCTTAAAGGAACCCTCAAAGGATCCCTTAAAGAAACCCAGGCCCCAAGGCAGAAACCCTGAGCCGCCCCTCCAGCGGTGTTCACCGGAATCCTATGAGAAGCCCTTTGGGTTACCTTGGGTGCTTTAATTAAGGAATATACCTTAAATCATATTAGGGACCATATTATGATTTAAGGTATATTCCTTAATTAAGGTTTTGGAAGGTCAGGGTACCTTTGGTTAGTAGGGAATGGAGGAATGGGTTACAATTACAACTACTATTACTACCATTCCTCCATTCCCTACTAACCAAAGGTAAGTTGGGTTTGGCAACGTGGGATCCGAGTTCTCTCCCAAAGCTGACCGAAGTTCTCTATGATATGGGTAGATAATTCTCATAATGTATATATATATATATATATGTATATACCAAGGGACCATAATAGTAAGTCCTCTATGATTTGGGTACTGCCCCCACTCAGAAACAGTTGGATAATACTCATATTTTGGATAAATTGGGACCTTTATTGTAATAGTAGCCCTCTGAGAGGCTGTTAGTGTATGGGGGGGGCAGTACCCAAACTATGATGTAGGGTTTTATCTGCGTATGAACCCTAAACCTTCAGCATCCTTTTTAAAATACAGGGGCCTAAATGATTACCAGTACGTATTTCGGGGCTCCTATTGTAATCAGTTATGGTACAAAAACCACAAAACCCTACTCTCACGATTAAGGCCCCTATATGTAAGCCTTCAGCAGACATGTGCGGAGGTTTGCTTCCCACATGACGGGGACCTCCTCGAAGATCGGTCTTTACTTGGAAGGCCTCCGAAGGGTTTGACGTCTACAGGCCTTGGGGCTCAGGGTTTAGGGGTTTGGGGTTTAGGGGGGCTTAGGAACCGGAGGGTTCAATGGCAATGGTTTTTGAAAAGGGCTTTATATGGGTTTAGGTTGGGGTCTTGGGCTTTGGGGTTGGGGCTTGGCTGCCAAGGCATCTCCGAGTAGTGATAAAACTTTAAACCCTAAACCCTAAATTCCCGCCCGAAGCCCAACGTGAAATTCCAGGAAAGCCTTGAATTCCGAACCCCCTTTTCCGTAACTCCTTAAACAATGGCCGAAACCCTTTTCCCTTCTTGGCCTGAGCCCTAATCCCCAAAACCCTAAACCCTAAAACCCTAAACCCTAAAACCCTAAACCCTTATAACCCTAAACCCTTATAACCCTAAACTGTTATAACCCTAAACTGTTATAACCCTGAACCCTCATCCCTAAATCCCCGAATCCTGAAGAAACCGTAAGCCCAGTCGCGCAGAGCGGCTCTGCCCCTGCCAGATTACGATCACGACGAGGCCCAGGCTTGGGCGATGACGAAGGCATCTCCGAGCCAGGGGTCTGGTTTAGGGCTTCGGGTTACAAGGGTTAAGGGTTTAGGGTTTAGGGATATAAGGGTTTAGGGCTTGGGATTAGAAGTTATAACTTTGGGGTACTTAGAAATAGTTTTTAATTTTTGGTTATTATAATCCCTAAGAAACAGCTAAAATTATAGTTTTTGCTAGGGTTCTAAGTTCAGTATAGGCATCTCGTAGCCAGGGGTCTGGTTTAGGGCTTAGGGTTAGAAGTTATAAGGGCTTAGGGTTATAAGGGTTCAGGGTTTAGGGTTGTAAGTTATAAGGGCTAAGGGTTTAGGGTTAAGGGTTATAAGTTATAAGGGCTTAGGGTTATAAGGGTTTAGGGTTATAAGGGTTTAGGGTTCAGCGTTTGGGGTTTGCCGAGGAATAGCACGTAGGCGACAGTATCTTGCGACAGGGCTGTGTCGATCGTACTATGGCGAGGAGCTGCGAAAGCCTTTTAGAGACCACCCAAACATTTTAGGGCTTGGGCTTAAACTCGTGCTCGCATGTGCCTCTTCCTTGCAGACAACAAGGCAGGGAGGTAAGCCCTAAACCCTAAACCCTAAACCCACAGTACATGGGCGACCTATGCCTTGGGTTTGCTCGAAGGTGGTCTTGACAGTGAGATGATGGAACACGGTATGCCTTGAGTTTAGGGTTTAGGGCGAGCAGCGGCTTTGGGCTGGCAGAGGGCTTCGGGGTTTCCTATAAAGGTTTCCTTTCAGGGTTGCAAGGGCTACTGCTGTGGGAGACAAGGGCTAGGGAGTTTGCATTTCGGGGTTTATGGTCGAAGGGTTATGGCCACACCCTAAACCCTAAACCCCTAAACCCCTAAACCCTAAGCCCTAGACCCCTCAACCCTAAGCCCCAAACCCTAAACCCTAAACCCTAAACCCCTAAACCCCTAAACCCTAAGCCCTAGACCCCTCAACCCTAAGCCCCAAAACCCTCGACCACAAGCAGGAAAGCCTGAACCCATAAGGGTTGAGGGTGTATCTCACGAACCCTGGATCTGTTTTTTGGGGATCATGCTTGACTAGGATGCCCAGTAGTAACCTTATTCCCTTTTTGTAGTCCTAGGTTCCCTATAAAGTTACCCAATACCCACAAGAGAGGCCGTTTTATTCCTAGGTTACTGGGTATCCTAGTCATGCTTGAGGCCTCCACGCTTGCAAGGGTTGTCTTCCTGAGCAGATTAGGGTTTTAGGTTTGAGGGTGCAGGAGCCTGGAACTCCTGGGGTCACATCCGAGGGCATTCTGGGATGTGGGTGGTTATCAAGATTTTGGTCTGTTTTTGTGTCCTTCGTATATACCTATTGTTTAGGGTATCTAAAAAGCGGCCATAATTTTGACAACTACCCATGTGCGGGCTCCGGGCTTGGGTTTTAAGAGTCCTGGGTTTGGAGATCTCTGCTGGCCGCCAGCCGGCATCGCACTTCAGAGCCCTCAGAAAAGCCCGAAAGCCTTGAGCATCTTGCTCCCCGAAGCCTGAAAATCCTGTAGCCTTTAATGATTCAACCGTATGTCCCAAGCCCTGAAGCCTAAACTGCGGTTGATGATATACATCCTGCACTACCTTCAGGACCCTAGACTATGGGAATTATGGTATATTCCTCATTATGGGTAATGCAGGATTTATATCATCAACCGTAACAAACCGGGGTTTAGGGTTTGGGGCCCTGAAGCCCCAACTTCAACGGGAGGCCTTTTGCATGGTCTTCTCCTTTGTGCTGGGCTCCTTCACTTGCGGCATGTCGCTGGGCGATGCCTTAAGAGGTTGCGGAGCTGGGGCTCTCGGAAACGAGTGAGGGTCTGTTGATGGCACAAATCCTGCATTACCTTAAGGACCCTACACTATGGGAACTATGGTATATTCCTTATTATGGGTAATGCAGAATTTATATCATCAGCCGGTTCACTGAGATCGATCCAAAATTCGTGGGATCCATATCATTAAGACCTGACATTGCGGTAAGTATGTATGGATCTGAGTAGTCGCGATTCTCTGCCGTATCGTCCCTCTGCAACTGTAGGTACATGATAATAGCGCCCCTCCCCCCAACCCTCCACTGGTCTTTCCGACCCCTATTCTAGCATCTATAGTACGTATCGTGCCTTTACAACTATAGCGTAATACATCCGAAAATGCAACCGTTTGCTGCGATTGTGGACCCTCCGGTTTTTGGTTGTAGCATTATATAATAGGTTCATGTTAAGGAATTTAGTTTAAAGTGCCATAATAAAGAAACAATAGTATGTACTATAGATCCCTGTTATCGTAACTTAGACTAAATTCCTGAAGAAGAACCCAGCTAAGCTGAGGCGAAAAACACTCAGCTGGAAGGCCGTAGGCATTCTAAAACACACCAGTTATTTTTTTTGGGTTTGCGATACCAGGAGCCAGAGATTCCCTCAGGTTTGCGAAGGGTTTGTTCAGTGTCTAGAGCTGGGCGTCAGTGTTGCTAACGTAGGGCTCGGTTTGGTTCTTGGGGTTTGGATTAGGATTCTGGTTTTGGGGCTGGGTTACCTGCTGCTGTGGAGTAGATCAGCACCTTCGAAGCAAGCTCTGACTTAGAACTACTCGACAGCCTATGAAGGACAGCCGGCTCATGTTCAAACCTTGAGAGCTTGAGCACACGGAAGGTCTTGCTTCGGAATTCGCTCAGTGCCGGCTGCAGTCGCTGCAGATCTGGTTGTTGTCTATGTTTGCTGAGACGGCTCTTCTGGTCTTGCTGCTGCTCCTCCTCCTGCTCCTCTTCCTCTGCATGTTCTTAGTCCAAGAGGACTAACTGAAACTTCTGCTTTGCTTTCATCCCGAAAAGCTGCAAATTCTAACGAAATCCATGAGCCTGAACTAAAACTACCTAAGCTGAAGAGTCGCAAGGCTTATTGACAAGAACCAGGCGCAGGGGGGGAGAGCTGTTGCGGGCTTTTTGGAGATCTGTGGCTTTTCAGGGGCTTTTTCATCTCCCTGGTGCTTAGTAGGGAATGGGAGAATGGATCTCCATTCTGTTGATGGTACAAATCCTGCAGTACCTTAAGGACCCTAAACTATGGGAATTGTGGTATATTCCTTGGTATGGGTAATGCAGGATTTATATCATCAACCGTAGTAGTCCCATATAATCCCCAATTATAGTCCCTATCATCCATTCCCCCATTCCCTACTAAGAACCAAACAGTCATCTTTTTTTGGTTTAGGGGGGTTGGATTTAGGGCTGAGAATGTAGGAACCTGATTAAAAGACCTTGGGCCTCCGTTAGGGTTCCTTATCTGAATTCTGTTATTTTGGGGTAATAGGCCCGGGGTTTCTTCATCAGGTTTCTACATTAGGGCTTGGGTGTAGGCTTCGGCGTTTGGAGTTCTGGGTTCCAGCGTTTGGGGTTCGGGCAGGCTTTTACTATAGGGTCCTAATAATTACCCATACTATTTTTGGGGCTCTTTTTTATAATTATAGTTTAATGACACCCAAAGCCCCATTTCAATTATTGAGGCACTTATATTGTTGGGTGTCTCTGGAAGCCTGCGAGATGGTAGACATGACGACCTTGTTTCAGAGCAAACCCTGCCCTTTAACCGGAACCCCCCCTCCCCTACCCTACCCTGCCCTACCCTACATTACCCTACCCTACCCTACCCTACTCTACATGACCCTACCCTACCGTACCCCCTCCAGGTGCATTTTGGGGGCAAGTCATTGTACGGAGTCGCCTTGGTCCGAACCTCGGGTAGGTGCGAGTTTTGGCTTCGGTCGCGCGTTTCTTGCGAGCCAAGACATTTCAGGGGGAGGGGCTCCCGGAGAGTTGAGAGTTGAGGGTTCAGGGTTGCCGTCGCAAGGCTCCGTTTGAAGCCTCCTTGGGGTTTTCAGGGGTTCGAGATGTAGGGCCCTATGCTCTGGCAGAGACGGTTGATGGTATAAATCCTGCATTACCCATACAAAGGAATGTACCGTAATTCCCATGGTGTGGTAATGCAGGATTTATACCATCAACCCTAAGCCCTTAACCCTAAAACCATATAGATCCCTTAAAGGTACCCTTATAGATCCCTTTAAAGGAGCCCCACGATCTATACCATCAACAGGAGGATCGCGTTGACTGGGACCGTTTCGGGTCGGGTCATGCTCTCCACGACGACGCCGCCTTCGGAGCCTGAGAGCGAGGGGCCTGTAAGTGTTACTATAGAGGATCTATTAGGGTACTTATAATGTTGGGGCCTTAATAATTAGAATAGGGCTGTGGGTAGCGTTATACTAAAGCTATAATGAGAGGATAGTTGTCAAAATTATGGCCCCTTTTTGGGTACCCTAACTATTGGGTGCCGTATTGTAACAAGGACCCGAAAAGGGACCCTAATTTTGACAATCACGCAAGAGCAAGTCTCCTTGTCAGGGTTTCGGGGTTCAGGGTTTAGGGTTTAGGTAGGGGTTTAGGGTTTAGGGTTTAGGGGTTTAGGGGTTAGGGGTTTAGGGTTTAGGGGTTTAGGGTTTAGGGTTCAGACGAGTTGATTGTTACTAGGAAACCAAAACTACCAGAACATTCCAAGGGCTCTTTAATGGAGCCCTTATGGTCCTTCATAGTGGGCATTTGGGTTATAACAGAGGGTAGGTGGCATAAGACTTCTTATAGTAGCCCGTTTAAAAGGAACCCTATTCCATTGATTAAGGCCGCTATATCAATAGAAGTGATGCGGACCCGACTGAAAGGTTTCCAGCACGGTCTGCTGCCCATGGGTCAACCATCGCCACCCTGGGGACTTGTTCGGTTATGGGGTTTAGGGTTTAGGGTTCAAGCCCGAACCCTTAAAGCAGATAAAACGCCTAAACTCCCCAATTGCTTAAACCCTAAACCCCAAAAGTATGAATGGTGTTGTGGCGGGTTGGGCTGGCTTTTTCGGTTCGTTAGGTTTAGTTCAGCCTATAGCTCAGGGTTAAGGTTCGGGCTCTCGTGAGGGTTTTGGGCGGATTTAGGGATCCTGCCAAAACCGACCCAGCTTTTTTCTCGATTCCTGCTTTCGAAAGTCGCTGGGCTGCGTGGCAGACGCCAGGCAGCCCCGCCCCGAATTCGCAACCATCACCTCCCTAGGACCCCGATTGACATTAAGAAACCTGGGGCCTATAACCCCCAAAATAGTAAGATCCATAGAATTAAGAATGTAAGAAGGGGATTAGGGTTTCCCGGACCGGCAGCCCGCAATCTGACCGGGCTAACCCCATACCCGAACAACACCCAAACCGCCAAAGACCTAAACCCTAAACCCCTTACAGAACCCCAAGTAGGCCTGAATAGGACCTGTATTGAAATTCTCAAACCCGAAAGAACCCAAATATGCAACGCTAATGGACGAGTCCCTTAGGTCGGCAATGCTGTGCTGATCTTCGCAGCGGCTTTGGTTCCCAACTTGCCGACTCTCTCTGCGGCGCCGACAGGATTTGGGCCCAAGCCCCAAAGAGCACAACCTTAACCTTACCTGCTAAACCCAAAGCCAGGGTCCTTTATAGATCCGAAATAGAATCCTTACTAAAGGACCAAATAGAATCCTTACTAAAGGACCAAATAGAATCCTTACAAGAACCTAAAACCCTAAGCCATAATTAGACCCTACTCGAGTTTGGTATCGGCAGTGTCTCCAGCTCAGCGGTCTGACCCCTAGACTACAGACTCCAACTTTCCGCAGCATTTTGGAGTAGGTGTAGGGCATGTAATTAGGGCTTGTGGTTTAGGGTTTACTGTTTAGGGTGTTTGGGTGTAGGTGTTCTTGTGGAGTTCCTTGAGAAGCCAGGTGTGCCTGGCTGCGACAGCTTGCGGACTCCAGCTGCGGGTCTCAATTCAAAGGGAAGTTACCCTCAGCCCTCAAATTAGGGACCCCAAAAGCACATAAGCACAAGCATTTTATAGGGATGTCCCTACCTTAATGGGCTTCATTATAAGGAGGGTTTTTATGGGATATCACTATCCTAATTTTTGCTTATGTGCTTTTTGGGGGCCCTATCAAAGCCTTTGGGCTTGAGCCCCAGACCAAATCCCAAAAGCCAATAACCGTCAAGCCTAGCTAACACCCTCACAACACCTTGCTGGAAACCCGATGCAAAGACGGAACCCTAAACCCTAAACCCTAAACCTTAAACCCTAAACCCAAAGACGGAGCCCCAGGAATGCCATGTGTACTTCACACTTTGGCGCAGTGGTGCCTCGGCGGCCGTGCAAGTGCAGCGGATTTCGGATTTCATGCAGAGGCCTACATACTGCTGTTGATGGTACAAAATCCTGCATGACCATAAGGACTCTAAACTATGGGAACTATGGTATATTCCTTATAGAGGGTAATGCAGGATTTTGTCCACCAGCAGTATCCCAATACCCCTTTATTCAGGAATATACTTTAATTTGAAACGCTGCGCGTCGTCCGCCTCGGCCCGGCTGTACGCGCATGCGGCGAGTGGCTACTATCTGCAGCAAGCTCTTGTAGGAAAAAAGTAACAGTTGGAATCGCACTTATAGTAAAAGTAATGTTCATAGCAACACGAAGCAGGGGGCAGGGGCGGGGGAGGGGGGCGTCGTGCTTTCGGGTGCAGGTGTTTTCCGGGCTTTGAAAGTTTTTCAGGCTGGGGTTAGGCTGTAGGGTTAGGAATTCAGGTTTGAAACTCCCTTGGTACTGCAGCCTTACAAGCGAGCCCCAATTTTTCAGGCTGGGGTTAGGGTGTAGGGTTAGGAGTTCAGGTTTGAAACTCCCTTGGTACTGCAGCCTTAAAGGCGCGCCCCAAGAGATAAACATGCTACATTACAGTCCGGTGTCGTCGGAAATTCCCAGAAAGCTCGCACCTGTCAGCGAGGGGGGGAGGGGCGGGAGGGTGGGGGAGGAGGGGAGGCGGGGGGCAGGGCGGGGGAGGGGGTCGTCGTGCTTTCGGGTGCAGGTGTTGTCCGGGCTTTGAAAGTTTTTCAGGCTGGAATTCAGGTTTGAAACTCCCTTGGTACTGCAGCCTTACAGGCGAGCCTCAATTTTTCAGGCTGGGGTTAGGGTGTAGGGTTAGGAATTCAGGTTTGAAACTCGCTTGGTACTGCCAACACATAAAGATGCTACATTGCAGTCCCGTGTCGTCGAAAACTCCAGAAAGCTCGCACCTGTCAGCGAGCGGAGGAGGAGCGGGAGGGAAGGGCGGGGAAGCGGAGAAAATTGGGCGGGACTGCCTACAGACTGCCAAAATCCATTGGAGAAGGCGAGAATTCACCGCCGGACCTTGGGGCTCATCGACACGTTTCCATTTTTTAGGGGGGGGGGGGGGGGAAGTGGGCCCCGATTTTGGGGGGGGGGCTTTAAGCAATACCCCATAATTGAGGAATATACATACCGGAAATTATAAGGGGCAGCTGTACGCGCATGCGGCGAGTGGCTACTATCTGCAGCAAGCTCTTGTAGGAAAAAAGTAACAGTTGGAATCGCACTTATAGTAAAAGTAATGTTCATACCAACACGAAGCAGGATGATTGTGAGTAGTATTAGTAGTGGTAGTATCAGTACGAATTTTGGTGTCGTCATTCCGAAACACTGGATACCAAGACTCTCGCAAGCGGCGGGATGCCTTAAGTATGGGCCGTTGAGGCTGTGGATTTCGGGCGTCTTGGATTAGGGAAGCATAAGACCCTTTTCAACCACGTTACTCCGCCTATCCCAACGAAAGGGCGTCTAAAACAAGCCTGAGACGCACATGAACATGCTACATTGCAGTCCCGTGTCGTCGAAAACTCCGGACCTTGGGGCTAGTCGACACGTTTCCATTGGGGGGGGGGGGGTCAGCGGGCCCCGTTTTTGGGGGTGGGGTCACTGGGGAGGGGATTAAGAGGGGATAGGAGAATCCGAATAGGAACCTCTGACCGCTTCGGCCGGGGCCGAGGCGAACTTATATTAGGATCCTTAATATGATTTAAGGAATATTCCTTAATCAAGGGATATTGGAGTCTCTGGGTACTATCCCTGACGGTTCCAAACTGTGAGTGTACTCGAAGTATACCCCAGAGCCCTATTCGATTTGCCAAGGCCCCTACGGCACGGTTTAGGGTTTAGGGTTTAGGGTTTAGGGTGCATTCGTGTGGCATCCGAAAAACCCCAGAGAACCCGTAATCCCCAAGCTCCTATCAGCCCTGAAGCATGGGTTTAGGGTTTAGGGTTTAGGGTTTAGGGTTTAGGGCTGCTTGATCTACAGTCTCTTGCCTCATGTTGTTGGTATGATCCTGCCACCCTAAACCCTAAACCGTCATAGACCTCCATGGTTCTGGGGCGGAGGGTTCTAGGGTTCGTGTTTAGGATTCAGGGGTGCAGGGTTTCGGGGTTTAGGGTCTCATCCATCTTTGCCTTTGTCGGAGGGGTTCCCCTTAAACCCTTAAACCCTGAAATCCCCAAACCTCCAAAACCTAACCCTAAACCCTAAACCCAAAACACTAACCCCTAACCCCTAAACCCTAAACCCCGAAACCCAAAACCCTAAAACCCTAAACCCTAAAACCCTAAACCTTAAAACCCTAAACCCCGAAACCCTAAACCCTAAAACCCTAAACCCTAAAACCCCAAACCCTAAACCCTAAAACCCTAAACCCTAAAACCTAAGGCATCTTCTTTCTGAAGTCGCGGAGTTTACAGATCCTGGAGCCCTGGAGCCCTGAATCCCCGATCCGCCTCCTCTTGGTAGTGAAGGGGCCTAAATAACTACTACGGCTGATGATATAAATCCTGGGGCTCCTTTAAAGGGATCTATAAGGGGTACCATTAAGGGATCCTTTAAGGGATCTATAGGGTTTAGGGTTGATGATATAAATCCTGCATTACCTTAAGGACCCTAAACTATGGGAATTGTGGTATATTCCTTATTATGGGTCATGCAGGACTTTTATCATCAACAGTATGTTGGGGTTTCCTGAGTATAGTTATAGCTTTAGGTTCAGGGTTTACTTAGGGTTCAGGGTTTAGGGTACCTGGAGGACAGTTCAGGCCTCGAAGCTTGAATGCTTAGCCTCTCGGCTTCTCTGGTGTGACTTCTGCTGCCTCCTAAACCTCAGCCCAAAAGCCTAAACTCTGATGAGCCTTAAACCCTAAGCCCAAATCGAACTGAAACCCTAAACCCTGAACACTAAGCCCTAAACTCTAAACCTTAAACCCTGCCAACACTGGGTCCAAGGTCCGCACCACGCATGTCACCGGCACTCTGACCGACATAGGATCTACCCTCGGGCGCAGCTGTGTCGCAGAAAGTTCTCTGAACCCCGAATCCCTACCTGAACCTACCAAAACCTACTTTTTGCAGGGTCCCTATAAATTCCATATTAAGGTTTATAATAAGAACCTACAAAAAAGTGGGGTTTGGTGGTTTAAGGTAAACCCTTAAACCAGTAGCTCCCCTTTGCTACAACATGTCTGGGAGCGACTTTCCGGCCGGCACGATTTTCACCGTTTTTGGGGTTCGTTTGGGGTTTAGGGTTGCTTCGGCTCCGGAACAGTAACAGGGGTTGGGGTTTGGGGCTTGGGATTTGGAAGGGTTTATGGGTTGGTGGACTTTGGCGTTTACCGTTCTGTTTGGGGGTTCGGCAGTTCGGGGTGTGTTGCAGCTAAACCCCATGAAGATCTTCAAAACTCTCAGCCTGCAAACCTTAATCCGTGGGTTTTTGCGCATTGGGGGTGGGAAAGGGCTGCAAGACCCTAATCCCTAAACCCATAGTGACCAAAGCCCTCAGCCCTAGACCCTAAACCCCAAATCCCATAAACCCTGAAGCCTAACCCACAAATCCCATAAACCTTAAACGCGCCAATCAGGCATTGCGATGGTCTACCTCAGGAAAGGTGCTTCGTCTGCAACGGCTTCGAAGGAACCGGAAACAAGGATGTTGGATTTTTGCGGTTTGGGGTTCAGGGCTTAGGGTCCAGGATTCGCGGTACATGCTAAAGGGTCTATGGTGGTTCAGGGGATTCGGTCTGCAAACTTGAGTCGGAAGCATGCGATAAAATGGCGAGGTAACGGGCATTTTGCGTGCTTGTGACTCGCCTCGGCCAAGATATCAAGGTTCCAAAATGCTTACTAGCCCTCTACAATCTGCAAAGCCATATTTCTCGTCATTAAGGCATCTTTGTCAGGGTTGTTCGACACGTGGTACCTTTTCGTCATTTGCTTGAAAGTAGATGCCTTCTCCTGTGAGGTGACGGCACTGCACGCACTGAAATGCTGCACCCCTACCCTAGATCGATTGAAAGATCACCCTGGACCCAAAGCCCTAGCCCCTATCCATGAAACTGCTACAGGTTGCCGGCGATCGCGCATGAATGTATTGGAGAAGGCAGGCATGAACTGGGGTGTTTGCCAGTTAAGGGTTTACGGTTGAGAGAGGATAGTGGTGTTCTGTGCTTACCGTGTACCCTGTACCGTAAGCCCTGAAGGTTAGACCCAACACCCTTAGATCAGGCCCCAATCCTGAACCGTTCTGGGTAAGTGTGTAAGGGCTTACATTTTTGAGGGCGATGGAGAAGCCACCGCAACTTCTGCTTGTCCAACCAACAGCTGACCACGCCCAAAGGGGTCGGGTTGGGAATCAGGGCTCTGGGTTTAGGGTTCAAGGAAAACTCAGAACCCTGGTCCCCAAACCGTGAAGGGTTCGGGTTTGGGCTTTACGGTTTCGGGTCGGGGTTAAGGACTCGAAATTCCGGGGTTTCGGGTTGCAGGTTTGGGTTCATGGTTTGTGGCTTAGCAGAGCCGAAAATGCTTTCAGGAACATCCCTTAGGAAGGTTTTATCGGATCCAGGTACTCCTTGATTGTTGGTATCCTAAACCCTAAACAATATACCCCAAACCCTAAACCCTAAATCCTAAACCCTAAACCCTAAATCCTAAACCCTAAACCCTAAATCCTAAACCCTAAGCCCTAAACCCATCCCAAACCCTAAACCCCAAGCCCTAAACCCTAAACCCTAATCCCTACGCCGTGGTAGCAGGCAGAGATCGGCGTGGATGCGCGGAAGCTTCTAGTGCTCCTCCCGATGTGGGTCAGCTTCGTGATGGGCAGCACCGTAGGCGGGAAGGGGTTCTGGGTTTGGGGTTTAGGGTTTAGGGGGACTTACTTGGGTTAGTAGGGAATGGAGGAATGGTGTACAATTATAACTACTATTACTACAATTCCTCCATTCCCTAGTAACCAAAGGTAAGGGAGGGGTTCCCAAGGTCTGTTACTATAGGGGCGTTAAGAATTACCAAAACTATTTTGGGGGTGTTCCTTATTTTTTGTATAATGTGCCCCAAAACCCAATTCTGATTGTTAAGGCCCCCATGTTATAGGCTTTTATATGTGAGGGGGTTTCGGGGACTAGGGTGCAGCTTTGTTTGGGTTCAGGGTTTGCGGTTTGGGGGCCAGCTTGAAAGACTATAAGTGACTTAAAGTCTGGGGTTGCAAGTACCTCGTACGGGCCATCCTAGCCGTGTGTATAACTTGCTTCTAAGTCGCCCCAGCCTGTAAAGCCTCTCACGCCATGAAGGTGGGGTTCTTGGAGTAGGGCTTCTCCCATCTTCACCGAGGATTGTCGGAATCATCAGCCCCCGAAAGGATAAAGCTGCCAAAGCTGCCGCCGACAAGTTTGCAAAGGTCGGGCACCAAGAAGCAAAAGCCATGCATCAAAAGCTCAAAGCTTTGCGCAAGGCTGGCAAAGTTGCTTTGCCTGAGGCCTTCTCGACATGCAAGACCCAACAATCGGAGCGACAGTTCTACAACGTTTACTTGCTAGACCCGGAGGTCTCCACAAAGCGACGGCAAAAGGGACACCCAAGGGAGGACACCCGGAAGGGGTGGTTGACGGCTGAGGAGATCGCAATGCCACGGATGACGACCATCGCAACTGATCATGCTGCAGGTTGTTGCTGCAGCTGTTTAGGGATTAGTGTCGATGTCTGACAAATAATAATTGACCACGGAGCATCGCTTCCGAAACAGCCGTCAGTAAAGGCTCGGGGTCACCCTATGTCGGGCTTTGAATCGCACTTACATAAGCCCGTACCTTGCCCTGAGCCATAGAATCCCAATGCTCAAGCCATAAACTAATTATGCCCTCACCCCTACACCCTGTAAGCCCGCGACCCTGAACTCCCTTTAGATTGCTCTCGCGATTGCTATTCCCACGTCTATGACCTTTACGATTACGACTTCTGTTGCTAGACCCTCAACCCTAAACCCAAATCCCGAAACCTTCAACCCTAAACCCTGAACCGAAACCCTCAACCCTAAACCCTCGTCCCTCAACCCTAAACCCTAAATCCCCAAGCCCTAAACCCTCAACCCTAAAACCCAAAACCCTAAACCTTCAACTCTTAAACCCTAAACCCTAAATCCCAGGCCCTAAACCCTGAACCGAAGAGGCGCCTATGCTGAGCACCTCTTCGGTGTCTACGCTCTCTTCTTCCCCGCCTCGATGACGCTCACGGTCGGCCTGGTCTACATGTTCTTACGGCCCGCGGCCCAGGGTTTGGGGTTTAGGAATTCGGCGTCTTGAGGGCTTTGGACTAGTAGTCGTGCGAGCCCGGGCTTGCGGATTTGGATCATTGGGGAGCTTCCCCCTATCCTTGAGCTATCGTTCCCAACAGAAAAATCCTGAATTCCTAAACCCTGCACCCCAACCCCAAATTCCGAATCCTCCCGCACCCTATACACCCGTACAGTCTCTGAAAGAAAGACGGGCAGTTTCTTCAGGTTTAGCGCCCCCCCCCCCCCCCCGAGGCTTAAGTTCGGGAATGATTTGCCTTTGGAGCAGGAACTTGTAGGGTTCATACGGTTGAAGGACAATATCCTGCATTATCCATTATAAGGAATATACCATAACTCCCATAGTTTAGGGTCTTGAAGGTAATTCAGGATTTTGACCATCAACCGTGGGCTTCGGAAGCCCCAAGCCCCGCACCCTAGACCTATAAGCACAGGGAGGAGTCCTCAGGATTTAGGGTTTGGGGTTTAGGATTTAGGATTTAGGATTGCAAATCCTTGTAATCAGCCTCCTCAGACCCAATCGAGGTGTAAAGCCGCCCGAAGGCCCTGATGCCAAGCCCCAAAATCTGACACCCTGACACTGAACCATAAACCGTAACCCTATGCCTTAAGCTCCCATGGGCAGACCCCATGCAAACTGCCTATAAAGGCCCCCTATGAGGCCGACTTTCCACCCACCCCCCTCCCCAAGCCAGGGTTTCAGGGTTTAGGGTATAGGGAACCGAAACTGACCCTAAATATCGTCAAAAGAGCTTCAAACCCCCTGGGAAGGCAGCTGCTTGCCGATATGTTCACGCGAATCGAGCAGGAGGGTCTGCGTGAAAAGCTGATGGATGCTCCCCGGCCTTGCAGAAAGCAGGGTCTTGGAAGTATGTATAATGTATTGATAGGGGCTTGTTGTCAAAGGGTTTTTGCAGGGTTTGACATAAACGGCTCATCAAGGTTTGACGCAAAACGGCTCTCATCAGGATAGTTTTGGATGTACGAGTGTTTACAGTGTTTAGGGTTTAGAGATCTGGCGCAAGCTTTGAATCTAGATCTAGGTTCTCACGCACTACCCCCAAGAGATTTCATTGTTGTTGAACACCTTTTAAACAAGGAAGAGACTCCGGAAATCACATATGACGGATCCCTCTATACCTCAAGGTAGGTTCCTTAAGCAAAGGTTTTTTGCGGTCTCTGGGTACCTACATTACCATAGAACCCCATAGTACCCCTTACAGTAGACCCGCTTGGTGTTTTATTTTGGTGCTTAGGGCCGAAGGCCTCTACTTAGAGGCCCAACTTAGTAAGTAGGTTATAAGTAGGGTTATAAGTACCCTACATGTAGTCACCCCAGTTATAGCCCTACTTGTAAGCTACTTACTTAGTCCCCTGCCCCTCTCAGTAGACCCTAAACCCTAAACCCCATAGATCCCTTTAAGGAGCCCTATAGATCCCTTAAGGAACCCTATAGATCCTTTAAGGAACCCTATAGATCCCTAGAACGAGCCCTTTAAGAACCTACTTACTAAGTCCCCTGGGCCTCCAAGTAGAGTCTAGAGCTTCACGAGGCACATGGCAGAGGACCTCAGCCAGGGTCTTAAGGGGTCCAGGACGCCGGGTGTAGGGCCTTAGGGTTTAGGGTTTAGGGTTTGGGGTTTAGGAGTTTAGGGTTTAGGAGTTTAGGGTTTAGGAGTTTAGGGTTTAGGGTTTGAGGTTTAGATTTGGGTTTAAGGTAGAGTTTGGGGTCTGGGGCCGGTTGGGGATCTTGGGATGCTTGGGCTGAAGACTTCAAGCCTGAAGCCCGAAATCTAACACCCACCTTAGAAGCTGCCCCCACCCTGTAATAGTGACTATAAAGATTATATTCGGGCCCTATTATATTCCTATTATACCACTATTACAGGGTGGGGGCAGCTTCTAACACCCACCACAAGAAACTCTGCAACGAAGCGGCTCAGATGCACTTGGCCTTCCAGCGCGCAGGCACAAGGCCCGGGTTTTGCCCAGTGTCCAAGAGCTTGGGGAGTTTATTTACGACTCGCACTCTTTGGATTAATGTAGACTCCTGATTAGTGAGCAGCTTCTTCTTTGCAATGTTGGCATTCCTATCGTAAGCCTTTTCTTTGTAATGTTGTAAAATCCCACTACATAGGCCACGGCTTCGTTCAAACATTCGGAGCCTGTTGCAATCTTCACTATAGAGGGCTGAATCTGCAGTGTAGGATTGGAGTCGAGTTCTTCAGGATTGGTCGCCTGTAGCCTATATTGTAAGAAGGTACCCCAGCTCCTGAACACAAAACGCACACGAACACGCTGTTTTGCAAGGCCTCAACCCTATATAGGTAAACCCTGAGCTACTGACCCTAAAGACCCTGAAACGCTGAAGCTCGAAACCACAAACACTACCAGCCAAAACCCGAAAGCCCACCCTAAACTGGTAAAGGGATCTATAAGGGTTCCTTTAAGGGTTTCCATAATGGTTCAGGGTTTAGGGTTTAGGGACCCTAAACCCTAAACCCTTATCCCTGAACCTCAACCCAAAAGCCCGCGGAGGTTGAATGAAGCTGAGGGAGGCGTCGCCGGGGAGTTGCAGGAGCTCGACGAAGAGTGGCCTGGCTCTAGCGATGTCTGTCGATTTTTTGGGGGAAATCTCTGGGTCTAGAATGTTTTTCTAAGATACTTAAGTAGTGTGCTCTATAGGTTTTCTAAGATACTTAATTAGTGTGCTCTATAGGTTTTCTAAGATACTTAAGTAGTGTGCTCTATAGGTTTTCTAAGATACTTAAGTAGTGTGCTCTATAGGTTTTCTAAGATACTTAAGTAGTGTGAACTATAGGTTTTCTAAGATACTTAAGTCGTGTGCTCTATAGGTTTTCTAAGATACTTAATTAGTGTGCTCTATAGGTTTTCTAAGATACTTAATTAGTGTGCTCTATAGGTTTTCTAAGATACTCAAGTAGTGTGCTCTATAGGTTTTCTAAGATACTTAATTAGTGTGCTCTATAGGTGTTCTAAGATACTTAAGTAGTGTGCTCTATAGGTTTTGTAAGATACTTAAGTAGTGTGCTCTATAGGTTTTCTAAGATACTTAAGTAGTGTGCTCTATAGGTTTTCTAAGATACTTAATTAGTGTGCTCTATAGGTTTTCTAAGATACTTAAGTAGTGTGCTCTATAGGTTTTCTAAGATACTTAATTAGGGTGCTCTATAGGTTTTCTAAGATACTTAAGTAGTGTGCTCTATAGGTTTTGTAAGATACTTAAGTAGTGTGCTCTATAGGTTTTCTAAGATACTTAAGTAGTGTGCTCTATAGGTTTTGTAAGATACTTAAGTAGTGTGCTCTATAGGTTTTCTAAGATACTTAAGTAGTGTGCTCTATAGGTTTTGTAAGATACTTAAGTAGTGTGCTCTATAGGTTTTCTAAGATACTTAAGTAGTGTGCTCTATAGGTTTTCTAAGATACTTAATTAGTGTGCTCTATAGGTTTTCTAAGATACTTAAGTAGTGTGCTCTATAGGTTTTCTAAGATACTTAATTAGGGTGCTCTATAGGCTTTTGTAGATTAGGTTGTCTTTTTGGTCAGGCTTTATCAGAGCTGCTTGGGTAGAGAGTCCTTGGGTTCCCCTGGTTTGGCTGTCGGGCTTTCCGGTTCTGATCTTGTGGACGTGGTGGGTCTGACGAGTGGGGGGGGGGGTAGGAGTTTCAGTTTGCAGCTTTCAGTTTGGATCGTTTCGTATTCAGGGGTGTCTTCAGAGCCTCCGAAGGCACTTCAATGGAAGGACCGTACCTTAAGATTATGCTGGGTTTCTCACTATGGCTTAAGGTGCATTCCTCAATTATAATTTTTTTGGAGGTTTTGTGTTCCGGGTGTTGGAATCTGAACCGCTCTGGCCATCCTCGCAGAATCAGTTTCATGTGTTCTAGCGCGAAATGCTCCATCGTCAATCCCAAACCCTGTTGCCCTAGGAGCGCAGTGTGGAGCACATGAGTACTGTCTAATTGCTATAAGCATGCATGTAAATATCTAAGACGTGCGACTGCCAGTACGCGCCTAGCACGGTTTAGGAAGTTTAAGGTTTAGGTTTTGTTTAGGGTTTATGGTGATGCCAATCCAGGCACAAGCTTAAAAGAACAACTGCCTGTGCCCAAAAGACTCCCCAAGGATTGAGCCATAAAGCCACCATAAGCTCAGTCAGGATGGGCACCATGCTTGAGGCCTTGGATGAGGCCGGTCTTAATCGTTCATTGACTGCTGTTCTGGGGTGACTGTTTAGCCAAAAAGGGATCTTCGAAAGCGGGTAATAGAAGGCTTTGTTCCTCGTAAGCCATATGCCTGCTGCCCCAATTGCTAGCCCTGAAACCACAAGATCACTGAAACCGTGAACCCTAAAACCCTAAACCCTAAACCCTATCCCCTAAACCCCTAAACCCCTAAACCCTAAACCCTAAACCCTAAGCCCGGCTTTTTACCCTAAGCCCTAAGCTGCATTGCCTTCAGTATCCTGGCTTAGCATAACTATGGGGTTTTCCGTCTGGTGGATAATGCAGGAATACCGCCATCCAAAGAAGACGCAGAGAACCAGGTAGGATCACATGTCACCCCAAGAAAAGGCTAAACCCTAAACCCAAAACCCTCTCTGAGCGCAGGTTGGGAGTGGCGTGGAGAACCTTTGCAAGCTCTCGGGCAGTCAGCTTTCCATGAGCTTGAGCCACCTCTCGCTGAGCCCTAGCAGACGGAGCTTAGAGCGACTCGGCATGCCACAAGCCCTGAACCCGAAACCCCAAATAAAAAACCCTAAACCCCAAGAGGATCTGCGAACCTCCATATACATCCCTATGCCAAATCTAAATAAACCCTGTTATCTAAACCCTAAAACCTATAGTAGAAGCCAGAAAGTTGGAACATGACTATCCTCGTGCTCCTAAGGTAAAGTAGAAGGGATCCTAGCACTAATCCTCCTAAAGCCATGTTCCAACTTTCTGGCTTCTACTGTATACCCTAAAACCCAAACCCTAAGAGGAGGAGTGATCTGGGGAACTCCAAATACATCTCCAAACCACATCTAAACCCTAAATTCTAAACCCTAAAACCTAAACCCTGATCCACAAGGGGCGAGCTGGCTTCGAAGAAAAGGCCCGCTACCATAGATTAAAAAACCTGATCCGTAAGATGTATTGCATAAAACAACTCCCCTAAGACCTGAGCCTAATGGTCATCTGGGCCTCTGGCGATCGTCTGTAGGGTCCAGAATTCAGTTGGGGGGTGTTTGGTGCGTTGGGTTTAGTTTGGGTTTATGGGATTTAGGGTTTGCAGGGTTTGGGGTGTAGGGTTCACGTTTTAGGGTGTAGGGTTCAGGGTTTAGGGTGTGGGTTTAGGGTGTTTTGGGGGGTTGGGTTTAGTTAAGGTTTAAAGGGCTTACTACAGTGTAGGGTTTCGGGGTATAGACATTCGAGGCGTTAAATCTTATATACCCTAGGCCCACTCCTGAAGTTCTAAACCCTACACTACATGTTGTACAGGGGATGATGGGTGTTGACGCTGCTGCCTCTCTGAAGACCCACCGGCTCTGCTAGATGCTGGCAGTCAGCTTCCCTGCTCTGCCAAGCCGTACTTACACTGCTTTGCCAACCCTAAACTGGGTTTTTGTTTAATCCTCTAAGCCGTGGGACGATGTTCGGAACCGGCTTGAGAAAGATCAGCCTTAGTCCACGGACGACTGTTCACCGCCCGCGTGGTAGGATTGACATGTGTCCCCAAATCATGCATGTAAACTGCTTACTGTTGCTTGCTGCTGTGCTGCTGTGCTGCTGTGCTGCTGTTGCCGCTGCCAAAAGCAGAGACAATGCGCGACAACACTCGTGATACTGTTCATGGACAAAATCCTGCATTACCCATTATAAGGAGCATACCATAGTTCCCATAGTTTAGAGTCCTTAGGGTCATGCAGGATTTTGTCCATCAGCAGTATGTGTCAAGGGCAACTGCAGCAGGCTTGTAGCATGGCTAGGATGCCCAGTAGTACCCTTATTCCCTTTTTGTAGTCCTAGGTTCCTTCTAAAGCTACCCAATACCAAAAAGAGAGGCCTTTTTATTCTTAGGTTACTGGGTATCCTAGATGGTCGACAGGGTACAGCATGCCCAAACTTAAAGCCGTAAGCCCTATGCCCCGAACTCTAAGCCCAGTTTTACTCATAGGAGGCCAAAAGGGGTTTTAGCCTATGGGGGTTTAGTCGGGATTCGGGTTCCCATTATAGGGTCCATGCTAAGGAATCCCTATCCCAAGAATCTTAAACTACCCTTTTGGCATCATTTTACACCCAGCTGAGGAAGACACCGATTCATGGCGTGGCCGACAGCGTCTGAGATGTTGGAAAGCCCACAAAGGGCTTTCCCCTCCCGTCGACCTCCTGGTTCTGGGGTGATATACGGGGTCGGAATCATTGCCAGTACAATTTCTTAGAGTTCCTACTTACAGTATTACGATCTACCCAACACCGAGTTCTCCTTGTTAAGGCCCCTGAACCCGAATCCCTGAACCCATTATCGTCTGGACTGCTGAAGGATTTAATCCCTATCATACATACAGCCTTGGCAGGTGCAGAAGCAAAGGAGTTCATTGAAGCTTTTACAGGCTTATTCTGGGTTCTTGTTAAGGAGCTTAATATCAGTCACCATTGTAAGGAAGGCGTATGATTTTCTATAGATCCCTGTTGTGGTAACTTAGATTAAGTTCCCAAGCAACAGCCTAGTCTATTCAAGTCACCAAATTCAGTGTGGCCAAGGTCGTTAATTTGCGAGTGGCGGCGAGTGTTGGTGATCAATGGACTAAATGTCCCGCTCTTGCAAGAATATCGCGACAAGAGCAGCCGCGAATGCTTCCGAAAGGTCATGAGCCACGAGCCGTGGGCCTGGACCCTAAGCCCTAAACCCTAAACTCTAAACCGCTCAACCCCTAAGCCCTAGACCCTAAACTCTAAACCCCTAAACCCTAATAACCAAGAAGCTCTGATATCCAGGAATCCCAAGGGGAGGCTCTCCTTGCCTTGTGTCTTGCGTCGCATAGGGGCCGAAACAATTACCAATACAATTTTGGGGGTTCCTTTACAGGTTACCTGAAAGGGCTCTAGAAGGGACATATATATATATATATGAGAGAGAGATACCTCTGAATCATCACTGTTATCTTCCGACTGCAGGAGGATGACAAGAAGCCTCAAGAGGCAATCTCGCCGAAGTGTTTCAAAGCAATCTTTACAAACTTAGCTTCTGATCAGGACTCGCCACAGGGCAGCTGGTGCGAGGCCAGACATGTATGCGCAGAGCCACGTATGCAGGTTCAGCGATTAGGCCGCGCTGGATCACATCTATTATCGTCCGGGGCACCGACCTCAGCCAAGTTACGCTTGAGCGATTTCTGTCGAGCATTGGCTACCCAGGTCGACGGACTCATCGAGGTCTCGAACCACGACGAGGCGGGAACTCTGGGGCTCACAATCCGAAGCAAAGTTGCGCGAGCTTGATGGCGTGTCGAGGGGCGAAAGTGGAAATAGCGGCAACAGCAATGGGAGTAGTTACAGTTGTAGTACGGACGACGGTTGGTCACTGTAGAACGGAAAAGCTACTGATGACAGGGGGGGGAGGGGGAGTCGGCGATAGCAAGAAGAGTGGCAATGATAGTAGCGTCGGCGAAGTACTACTCACATCGGATCGAAGGACCACTAAAAATGAATCATTACCGTTATCTTCCGACTGTAGGAAGATGACATGAACCACGTCGAGGCAGCGTTTCGGAAGCTTCTTAAAACAGTAATTAGAAGCATAGATTCTGATCAGGACTGGCCTCTGTTCCTGTGAGGAGGCTAGACACACACTCAAGAGCAGTGACGATAAAACATTAATGTCTTCTCCCGATTGCAGGGAGATGACATCGACGCTGTGGAGGCAGTGGTCCTGAAGTAGAGTAAAACAGTATTTGCAAACGCATGACTCTGGCCAGGAAGTTCTGGTGGAGAACTCTCACGAGAAGGCCAGACACCCATTGATGTCATCTTCTGAATGCAGGAAGATGATCAGAATCCACTTCGGGGCGTACACCCCAGGTGGCTCAAAAGGACATCACAGCAAGACACGTAGTCCCATCACTTGTCTTCATCTGTCGCGCGAGGAGCCTCCGCGACGCGATCGAAAGCAGCCCCTGGAGGCAGCTCGGTTTGTGAGAGAAGAGCAGACAACCTTAACTATGATTCCACTTGCCAGGCGCAGCCAGCGAAAGTGGCGATGAGTGGGGATCGGCGGGCTCACGCGGCTAGAAAGTCTGCTGCGAGTGTCTTCTTTCGGGTAACTCTTAGAGTAGCTTCTGGTTTGTTTAGAATGGGATATGCGTTCTGCCTGCAGTGGCCATCAGAACTATAGTTCGGATCTCAGGCTCTCTTTGGCGTGTTCGGGTGTTGAGGTGTGCCAAGACGTATCAAAACGTTTCTGACGGTTTTGAACGGTGTCCAACTATTCAGGGACACTGATGCATACAGTTCCCAAGAGTGTGCCGTCGGCTCCTGAGATTATTGCCATAGTTCCAAAGCTTCGGTGAGCAGTCACACATGTACATGCCACAAAGCATGCCAAGGTAACTGATTTGATAGGATGATGATGATGATGATGGTCGGAACTAGTGTGAAACGTTTCAGGCTTAGGTTTGCAGAATTCACGACATGGCTAGATATCATTTAGCTAGGCGTTTGATATTGTATGTATGTATAATATATATATATATATATATATATATATCAGCCTAGCTAAATAGACCCCAAATGTATCGGGCTCATGAATATATATATATATATATATATATATATATATATATATATGTACATACATATACATATATACATATATACATATATACATATATACATATATACATATATTTATATATATACACACATAAATATACATATATACATATATACATATATACATATATACATATATACATATATACATATATACATATATACATATATACATATATACATATATACATATACATATATACATATATACATATATACATATATACATATATACATATATACATATATACATATATACATATATACATATATACATATATACATATATACATATATACATATATACATATATACATATATACATATATACATATATACATACATGTACATGTACATATGCATATACATATACATATACATATACATATACATATCCCTGTACATATACATATACATATACATATACATATACATATACATATATATATATATATGTGTGTATATATATATATACATATATAAAAATGATTGCTTAAAAGTGCGATTTTGGGGGTTCTTTACTATGAATATGGTATAATGGGCCCCCAAACCCCATTCCAATGCTTAAGAACCCTATAGTAACAACCTCGGCTTAGTATACGGTCCACGTTGAGTTTAGGGCCTCGGGTTCGGAGTTTCGGGCTTGGGCTGTTGGTTTAGGATCTTTGCAATTTTTCGGTTTAGCCCTCCTTAACCTTGAAGTTTGTCACACGTCGTGCCCACGTAGGTTCGACCTCAAAGGCGCATTCTGCTTGCGGCAGTGCTCTTTTCTAATTGCATGGCTGTCATGCTCGACCACTCGAGGTTCCTGCAATGGCGAGTGGAATGTGCCAACTGCATGTCATAGTTCCCTACGCCCGACGACTCCAAACTTTCTGGTTGTCGCGGCTATCACCTCAACAAGCTGTCGTGGTCTTGATGTAGATGCAGAAATGGTCTGTTGAAGAAGAGTTTCGGCATCATGAAATTTCATCCAAATATATACCCCTGCAAGCCCAAAAATACTTCCAAAAAGTCCCCTGAAGCGTCCCAAGACTTGCACCGAGAAGGTTTGGGCTTTCAGCTTAGGGCTTTGCGGCTTTGGGAGTTTAGGGTTTGGGTTTTAGGGTTTTAGGGTTTCGAGGTTTAGGGTGTGGCTTTGAAGCATCTTGCAGTATTGACCTGTGTTGGAGTGGATGATGCACTTCAAAGCCCCAAAGCCCCATGTAGAAGTTGGGTCAAACCCCTCTCCAGGATCAGTCCCTAAATCAGCTAGTCAGTTGATTTTAATCCCCAAGAACCCTTCATTCACTAAGACGAAGGTGACCAAACCCCAAGCCCTTAACCCCAAGCCTAACAGGAAAGCCCTACACCCAAAGCCCCTAAACTCGAAACTTTCTCCCAAACCACTCATCGTGCTCCCTCAAAGGAATCGAAACAGGAATCCTAGATCAGCAGTCGGAAAAGCATCCGACCATAGCAATCCGAAGCCGGGCTGAGGGTTTTGTCAAAGGGGAAGAGGAGGGACCCTTACTGGGGACCCCTACCCAAAAATGGGCTACAAAATGGGTATATGATAGCTGTATCAAGGGTATATACCTAGGGGTCCTTATTAAGGGTCCCTCCTTTTCCCCTTGGAGTTTTGGGAATATGCAGGTCTGCCCAAACCCCAAAGCTCCAAACCTCTACAGCGAGACTTATAATACCCTACACAGTCCTTACATCATAGACCCGTAAAGGCCAGCTGAAATCCAGAATCTGATTCAAACCCGTAGACAAACACCTGAAACCTAGAAACTGAATTCGTGCAGAATGGCCGGCGCTCGCCAGCGGCAACGACTTTCGATCCCAGCGGTGCTTTCCAAACGAAGCAATTTCCTCCCAACGACTTGGGTTTTAGGGTTTACATAGACTATAGTTTCCTCAGGAATTATTTTCTTATTTTTGTTCATATAAAACCCAAGAGAATATCAAACATATTCTTTTGATTATGGCTCTAAGAGGGGTATAGTAGATTGTATGGGTTTAGGGCCTAAGGGCTTCTGGCCGCAGTAGGCATCGGTTCTAACCTGTAGCTAAGCCTTAAACGCCAAGCCCTCGAAGCTAGGCCCCTCAAGCTTAAGCTTTGATCCCCCAAGCGCTTCTGTAAACAGTGTGTGTCAGGGATGTACCACCAGATGTCTCAGTACTCTTCGTTCGAAAAAGGTTGAAGCAACGTGTAAGGCTAACCGTAATGTAGGTCGTTGTGCTGCCACTTTATCCCCATTAGAGGATTAAGTCAGGGTTTAGTTTCGCTTCGGGCTTTTTGGTCTTATATGTTTGGAGTTTATATGAATATGTAAAAATTTCGGGTGTTGTCGCAGTTCAGGAGATAAGATTTGGGGGTTCGGGGTAGAGGTTTAGGGTTCAGACGCCGACAACGGGGAGTCGTCCAAGCAGAAACGCCACAAGCCTAAACCCTAAACCCGAAACCCTACAACCGTAAGCCCTAAGCCCCAAAACCCTAAACCCTCGTAAGCCCTAAACTGCAAAACC